AAAGCCCTGCATGCTGCATCTTCTTCTCCAGCTGGTGATCATGGTTTCCATCGCCAGCTTCCTGCGCGCTCGGACCAGGTAAACAACGGGAGTTGTCGGCCGGCACGGCGCACGGGCCGACCTGGGGGGGCTGTTATTGAAAATCTGCGGCCACTGGCGCGCGCTCCCTCCACCACTGCTGGGTCTACCTTGGACAGAATCAGGTTGTGTGTGGTCAACGCAAAATCTGTTACCAACAAAACTTTTGTCCTCAGAGACTACTTTCAAGACCACAATTTGGACTTTCTCTGCATCACAGAGACTGGGATGTCTCTGGGTGAGTCCAGTGCCTTGACAGAATTATTGCCACCAAACTGTCTGTATTTTAACGCACCGCGGCCATCAGGCCGGCGCGGTGGTGGATTATTAACAACACTCAAATCAACTTTTGACTGTAAACAACTGCCCATCCCAGATTCCCGTACCAGCTTTGAGCTGAGCGTCTTCGAACTCAGCCATTCGCCTTCGACTTTATGCACACCCGTCTACCGCCCACCTCGATCTAAGGATTTCATAAATGAGTTTTCTGATTTCTTGGCTTAAATCACACCAAAATATGATCATGTTTTCATTATTGGGGATTTTAATTTGCATGCGTGCTGTCATGAAAAGGCCTTGGTTAAGGTCTTTTTAGATTTATTGGACTCATTTAATCTAACTCAGCATTTAAACGGTCCCACCCAAGAGCGTGGACATACACTGGACCTTGTTTTAACATGTGATGTGACTGTTAGTAATCTTGAAATTGGTGATAATGTGTTTTCAGACCACATGCCAGTCTGGTTTGAGTTCACCCTCCCCCTGTCTAACTCCTAAGCCATGCACTCCTGCACGTAGTAGCCGGGCCATTAACCACTTCACTGCCGTATGTTTCACAGATGTTTATAACTCTGAAATGATAATTCAGCCCCCCGTGTTTCTCACCACCACTGAGGAGCTGACATCCCAGTTCAACTCTGTCTGCTTAAAGGCTCTGGATCATGTTGTTCCTGTAAAAACTAGAAAATCGAAACTCAGATCAGAACCTTAGCTGAATGACGTCACCAAGGCCGTTAGTCAGCAATGTAGGAGGACGGAGTGTAAATGGAGGAAAGACAGGCTGCAGGTCTCTTTTCAAATACTAAAAACGAGTTGGTGTCATTATCAGAAAGCAGTAAAAGCTGCTAAATCTAAATACTTTTCTGATATCATTGCCTCCAACTCTCACAACCCGCATGTCCTCTTTTCTACCCTAAACTCTGTTCTCCACCTCACTGAACCATCACCTCTGGAAGCCTCGACTGAGCTGTGCGACAACTTCCTACATTTCTTTTTAGAAAATATTGCAACCACCCGGGCTCTCATTTCCCCTCCAACTCATGACCCATCCATCCCACCTCAATCTGTAGCTCTATTTGACCATTTTGAGCCCATCTCTCTGTCTTCTCTAGAGCAGCTTGAAACCTTCTGGTTCTCTCTTTGATGTGGTCCCCCCTCGACTACTAAAGGAGGTTTTTCCTACTCTAGGTCCGTCCATTCTTGCTATTGTGAATAGCAGTTTATCCACTGGCGTGGTGTCAAAAACCTTTAAACATGCTGCTGTTCAACCTCTCCGGAAAAAAAAAAAAAACATTGACCCCTCAGTCATATTCAACTTCCGGCCTGTCTCCAAACTCCCATTTGTTTCTAAACTACTGGAGAAAATAATTGAGTCCAAGTTGAAGCGCTTCCTGGAGGATCACACTATCCTAGAGCTATTCCAATCTGGCTTTAAACCTCTTCACAGCACTGAAACTGCCCTGCTGAAGGTTTTTAATGACATCTTTTTATCCACAGATACTGGTGATTCTGTGCTGCTTGTCCTATTGGACCTCACATCCGCTTTTGGCACTATCGACCATGAGGTCCTCATCTCTAGGTTGGAGCAGTGGGTGGGCATCACAGGGTCAGCCCTCAATTGGTTCAGATCCTACCTCACTGACAGATCCTCCCTGCACTGGCTACCGGTTCACCTTCAAATCCAGTTTAAAATACTCCTGTATGTCTACAAATCGCTGAACAGTTTCAACCCCCCCACCCCCCTCACCCCCATCTCTCTGATTTGCTACAGCCATATGTCCCACCACGTTCTCTGAGGTCAGCGGACCAGTTACTTCTCACAGTTCCAGGAACTTGTCTTAAGCGCAGAGGTGACAGGGCCTTCTCTGTAGCAGGCCCACGACTTTGGAATGAGTTACCTCTGCTTGTCAGACAAGCCCCCTCCCTCTCGGTTTTCAAATCCCGTTTAAAAACCCACTACTATTCCATAGCTTTCAACACCAGATGATCTGTGTTTTGAACCTGCACGTGCCACACTGGTTAGTCGTTATATTTATTATCTTCAACGTTTTTATGTCTATATTCGGATTTACTTAATTTTGTATATTGCTTTGTGTGTTGCCTGTTTTTCTGTCTGTACGGCACTTAAGTTGGTCTTGTCGCTGTTTTAAGTGCTCTATAAATAAAATGGTATGGCGTGGTATGGTATCATTCAGGGAAAGTCCAGCTATCCTGCAGAGGAAACTCATTTCAAATGACTGCGTGATCTTGTTCTTTCGGTCACTACCCAGAGTTCATGACCATAGGCAAATGGTAAATGGGCTGCACTTACATAGCACCTTGCTATCTTATCAAGATACTCAAAGTGCTTTACAACACAATCTGTGCCCTCATTTACTCATTTATACAGCACTCTACTGCATCTGTGCAAAGAGTAATCAGAGCTTTAAATCACATTCATACACCAATGGGACACACATCAGAGGCAATGAGGGGTTCAGTGTCTTGCCCAGGGACGCTTCAGCATGTGACTGCTGGTGGAGTCGAACTCCCAACTCTTGCATTGGAGGACAACTGCTCTAACCACTCAGCCACAGCTGTCCCACAGGTAAGGGTAGGAAGGTAGACTGACCAGGAAACAGAGAGCTTCACCTTACAGTTCAGCTTCCTCTTCACCACAACTGACCGACACTGCAATACTTCAGATGCTGCACCAATCCTTCTGTCAATCTCATGCTCCATTCTTCCCTCACTCTCGTGACCAAAACCCCAAGATACTTGAGCTCCTGGACTTGAGGCCGAACCTCACCCTTGACCCGAAGAGAGCAATCCACCCATTTCCAACTGCGGACCATGGCCTCAGATTTGGAGGTGCTGATTCTCATCCCAGCTGCTTCACACTCTGCTGTGAACCGCTCCAGTGAGAGCTGAAGGTCACAGCATGATAACGCCAACAGAATCACATCATCTGCAAATAGCAGAGAAGGAATCTTGAGGCCACCAAATTGGACTCCATCCACCCCAACTGCAATGAGAAATTATGTCCATAAAAGTTATGAACAGAATCTGTGACAACAGGCGGCCCTGGCGGAGTCCAATTCCTACCCTGAAGGAGTCCGACTTACTGCTGGCAATGCGAACCAGATCCTCACACAGCTTGTATAGGGACCGAACAGCCCATAGCACTGGGCTCCCAATCCCATACTCGCCCTCTAAATGAATTAAAACATGGAAAATTGCATTTGAGTTAAAATGTATACTTTGTGAATATGAAGAAGAAAATCCTGAAAGCCGAAACTGGACTACTACACGTTCAGATTTTTTATTGCTTTTAAGTTGTCTCTATATTCAACTTTTTGATTAATAAGTAATCCAGATCAAATTTGACACCTCAGAGGTTGAAATGGATATCAACAACAGCTTCGTTTTCTTCGCTTCCCCACTTTGCTTGTCTTCACATACATTATAGAAAGCAATATGGGGAGTGAGAGAAGAATTTGCCCATATCTGCAGCCACCCTCATATTTCTTGTGATCTCATCCAAAAGACAACAAAGGTATTCACATGCCGGCTCACAGACAATGTAGTGTGTTCCTGTAAAGGTTGGAGCTCTGTTACGATCTGAGCCTGTTAGCTTCTTTTTTGAATGCTTTTGAAATCCAGAATCAGGCACAACAAGACACACTGTAACATTAATCACCCACTCAACAGCTATCTACACCAGAGGTATTCCAAAGAGCATCTACGCCACCCAGGTTGGTTAAGTGAGGAAGAAAACTGATGCAGCTGCTTAGTATGTCAGCCTGTGAGAACGTATTGCAAAGGTTGTTCAGCTGTTTCTGATTTGCTGACAAGTTTCAGTTTTTCAATTTTACACTGAAAACAAATGTCTGTAAAACGTACACCCATTCATCAGCTCACTCAGTGACAGCAGTGTGCTTTTATCAATAGTGCATGAAGATGAAATGAGAAAGAAACCTGCTGAAGACAAGTTTATGCCACATCCTGACTGCTGAAACAACAAAGTATCACTTTCCATTAAGTTACCACTTTAATGACCCTTGTCCGTCCACTCTATTCCCGATATCTCTCAGCCAGTGGTGGCACAGGCGTGTCAAAGTCAAGGATCTAAGTGTCAAAAATGACAAATTTGAAAAGTAAACTTTGCCTTACAAAAATACATGTTTTCAGGTACATAGCCTTCATTTTCTGTCAACACATTTTTGGAGACTGGAAATGCATCATTGCTATAAGGTGAAAAGTGTTTGAGATGTTATTCTATAGTTATTGTACTAAAGCACTAGTCAGGAACACCATATCTGAAGGGAAGTAACTATCTGAGCTGACATATTTTAGATCTGAAAGCTGAAGTTGTGCTCTGTATTTTCTTTGTTGTGGGTTTCAAAAGTAGGGTTTCTTTCAAGTGACATGCAAACAAAATAAAAGCAGCTAAAGAATAATCAAGCATTATCATCTGGTGAATGTGGAGGTAAACATTTTTTTACAAGTATGGGAAGCTGAATAAAAGTGGGTGCACTTGACCATTCAGTATTTCTATGGCTGTGAACCTATTAAGAGGGCTCCAAATTCTCCAAACCTCTTCAAAGTCTCCAACTTTCCAAAGTGCTCTGTAATCCAGGACCCAGTTGATTTAAAACAAGCACTCTCTTCACAGACACATTGAATGAAAAAACAAAGAATAAGTTATAAGATGAGTGACCAATGGAAAAAAAAATACAAAAATGTATTTATTGTCAAAATTAGAGAGTTTTTGCTCATACATTGATGAGATTTTAAAAAAATTATAAGGAAGTATCTATTGTTATACAAACATCTAGTGTGAACTTAACAGAACTTTAAAAAAATGTACATTTAGCCTTATATATAATTTTTGGTTCATGACATGTCTTTTTTTAACCTTATTGGTCTTTCTGGAGGTAGTAAATTATTATTTGCTGCAGTGTGATTGACTTTTGATTTCCTGAGTGCAAATATCTTGAAAGGTAATTTACAGGCTTGACTACTAAATTGGCCAAGTATCCTTCACCCCATTTATTATTAGTATTTTTTGGTCTCTATCAAATTTTGACATAAATTGTCCCCAAAGGATGGACATCTTTACTGATATAAAACTTTTAAAGTCTCTACATCCAGTAAAGATTACCATGCTGCAACTCATAGAGCTTCATTGTCTAACCAACAAATTGAGTCATGTTTCTTAATTTTCCAATCATAGTTAAGCCCTGATTATAATGAACAAAAACAACAACAAGACAAAAGTTTGCAGAGAGACACACAGCACAGAGCTGCTTGACAGTGAAGAAAAATGAAGAGTTGCGGAGACCTGCTCAAATTTACTTGGAAAATGACCCAATTCCAGGAGCAACAACTGCAAGTGTTTTGCAAGCATAATGCCACGCGCCAAGTCAGTGTTTACACCAGACCTGTAGTAGCAGCGTGCTTTGCTCTTCTTCCCATAAAAAGCCAAAACAGGCTTGTTAGTCTTGGCTCTGTGGGGCCTTCAAAGAGCCCATTTATCATCACATCTGGAGAGGGACCTATCTGATAAAGCTGAGGAGCCTCAGCCTGGGACACCTCATAATCCCAACTCAGGATCAACGGTCCTTTTAATCCTTTAGTTCATTGTTTATTCACTTCTCTCTTTGATGAAGCCTCACAGGTGTCTCTCACATTTTGATTTTTCCTTCTTAAAGTCTTCTGGTGTACTTTAGATATAAATTGAGCTTAAAACAGTGATAGCTGGACATGACCCAAAAAGGAAAAAGCAGGTAAAGATAATGGATGGATAGATGTTGCAAAAATAATTAATATTCCTGAGACCTCTAAAGTCATTCAAGCAGACTTAACCCCCCAGTTTCTTAGAGGAAAGTAAATTTTACCAGGTCTGAGTGTGGGGGCAGAGAGACCTACTGTCTCAGTCACTGTTTGCCACACACAGGCTGAACAAGTGAAAGGCCATAGCATATTAAGGTGGTACTGGCCTGCCTCATCAGGTCACTCTGAGATTTTTAAAGCGCCACCACACAATGGCCACCATTGAACAACAAAGACTGGGTTCAGACAACAAACAACTCAAGCGCTCTGGACATAAAAGATTTATTGCATCGCACAACAAAGGCTGCCCTCGAAGCTGCCTCAAAGAACAACTTTAGGGTATTCCATTGAGGTGAACTTCACTTTGTCATACTGCTGTCTCTGTGTCACCCTAAGGACTCAACAATAAAAAGTCTAATGAAATTGAGGAGGACTTACAAGCAACCTCCCAGGCTGAAAAACGTATTCTGTTCTTTTAAATGGAACTTCAAAATCCAAAGTTATTATTCCTACCCTTGCTTGAGCTACTTCCACAGACCTGGTAATGCTTCAGCAGAGGAGAAGTGAAAACAGCAAACAGAGCCGGTGCCAGTTATGTCTAATTAAGTTGAGGAGTTTTCATTTACTGGTACACCCCCTTAGTCAGGGCTAACATATTTTGGATCCCTTATAAGTAAAAAAAAAAAACCAGTGGCTTAAAATAGTTTAAACTTTATCACCCTCAGTCAGAAAGTGAATGCATGTAATAAAAAGTTGAGTGTTTGTGGGTGAAAATCAGACGGTGGTTACTGCAGAATGATTTGGCTGTCTGTTACCTGAGGCAGCGCAGGGTTCACCAGGATCTGACATGTTCCTTTTCCTCTCGTTTCGATAAACAAGATGGGGTTTGTTGTGTTCTTCGTCATATTCCTCCCCCACAGCATTTAAAAGAGGCTCCAAGTAATATTCACCGTGTTGTGTCGTAAAAGTTCCAATCTGTCAGAAAGAAAAGAGACAGCACTGATGAATTGTACAATTGTATGTGTGCCCACTGTGGCGTGTGGGTTGAGATTACCATATTTTTTTGTCTATAAGTCACATTTTTAAAAATAATTTGCATGCCTTGCCGCTTAGCTGAAGTGACATATTTATAGATTTTTTTCTCATATTACCAATTTTGGGCTGAGATGTGACCGTTTTCATTCATTCTGACTGAAAATATTGAAAACTACCATTTCCAGCCACTAGGTGGCACTCGAGTAGTATGCAACGCCATTGTGTCATGTAATAGGTAAAAGTGGTTATTAATGACACAAACGGCTTGCCAAAGGTTGCCACCTTTGTCCAGCTTGCTTGAAGCAACCGTCAAATCAGTTTCATTTCGCTGTTCCACCCTGGCTAAATGCAGCTACTTTGACCACTGAAATGCATTTATTAAGTAAAAGTTCAACTGAGACACAACTTTGCTATAATGTTGAACAAACAAATAATTGTTTTTAAGTGTTAATTGTGTTAAATTCTTGTTAAAGTCCTCCCATGCATGCTCCCGTGGCCACCATTTGGCAGCCAATTGATTTTTGGTACAACACCGGCCCACGTTTCCAGGTTGTCAGCAGTGACACATAATGACGCAATGTATTAATGGATTTTTCCACTTTATTAGACATATTTGGACTGATGCGACTTATAAGACGGTGCAACATGTATGGCGGAAAATACGGTACTGTTTTGTTGGCAACGGTTGTTGACAATAAACTTTTTTGTTTGTTTGTTTCATCTATGTAGTTACAGAAATCTGCTGACTCAGAAATGTCCTTCAGCGCTCAGTGGCAATCAAATAAAAAAAACTGCAACACATTTTCTGTTTTTTGGCATTTATAAATGTGCAAGAAAGCTGCAGTGATTGTGTAATGTCCTGTGCATTCATGAACAGGCTGTTACGTGAAGAGAGCTTTTCAAAACTTTTGTAAAACAAATGCATTTTCCCCTCACACCAACAGTGGGAGGAGTAACATCATCATATGTGGACAGAACTGCTGACAGAAGAATGCTGATATTGATTTGACAGCTCAGTTTCTTACAGCCATGAGGTACGGTGATGTTTACATGGTAATTTCATGCGAACACTTAAGCAGGATGTTGGTCCCTGGAATGTTATCTTCAGGGCAGCATTGCTCCATAGCTGTCCCTAAAATTGAAGGACGTTAAACAATGGAAAACATACCGATCAGATGTGGAAACCAACTGTATTTGTTTCCAGAGAGTGATAGATTTGTTCATGACTTTAAACAAATCACACTTCAGGAAAAAATGCTACAAGCCTTGAGAAGAGGTGCTTTGAATAGCTTGTAAAGGCAATGCACTGAAAAAACAAAGCCCAGAGACTTTTCCACTCCCTGTGTCTTGTCTCATATATATTTGCTTCTAAGGAGCCTCTATTAATTAACAAACTCTCTTTTTATAGTAATCACGGTAACTAGAAAATTCATCTACAATAACTCATTTTACCTATACAATTGAATTTTCATTTGACAAAAACAAATGTAGAGTGAGTCATTGTTGTGTCACCCAACATCATTGTCAGTTCATACATACATTTATAAGATAAGATGTAACTTTACTGAGCACAGGAAATTGTTATATATGTATTCATACAATTGACACACTGTATCAAATGCTTTCTAGAGACACCAATACTGAATGTGACAATCTAACCATCCATCCATCCATTATCTTTTAGCTGCTTCTTCCTTTTCGAGTCGGGGGGTCACTGGTGCTCATATCCAGCAGTCATTGTCTGAGAGGCGAGGGACACCCTGGTCAGGTCTCCAGTCCATCACAGGGACAGAGAAACAGAGGGACAGGGAAAGAGACAAACAACCATCCACTCTCTCACTCACACTTAGAGACAATTCAGAGTTACCAATCAGACTAACATGCATGTTTTTGGTCTGTGGGAGGAAACCAGAGAAAATCCACGCAGGCACGGAGAGAACATGCAAACTCCACCCAAAAAGGTCCCTGGCTGGGGTTTGAACCGGGACAACCTGCTCACTGAGAGGCGGCAGTTCTACCAACTGTGCCACAGTGCTGATGTGACAACCTAACCAAATCCTGTTTGCAGTCAAAACACACATCTTTAGTAAATAAGTATAAGTTGATGTAAGATCCATTAACCAACAATAAATTTGAACTCTAAGAAATGCTACAAATATGCTGATGTGGATTCTCAGCCATCCAGGACATGATAGATTCCAACAATCTTTAAAAAAAAAAAAAAAAAAAAAATGAATTTGTTTATCTGCAGCTCAAGAACTTTTCTGGATGAGAAGCAAAATGTCTTAACTACAGAACTGAAATCCAGTTGTTTTGTTCATAAAATACAATTTGCTTTATTTGTGCAGCTCGAAAACAAGTAAAACATCACAAAGGACCGTTTTCCCAATACCACATGCATGCATAAAGTCAGGCACCTTGTGCTCAAATACATTTCTACTTCTGTTAGCTATGATAGAATAACTTGGTAGAATACCAGCTCTTGATAAAAGTGAATGCAAAGATGTAACATCAAACTTAAGCATAATTTCTAATAATTTGGAGGCCATGGTCAGTGACCTTAAAAAAAATAAACAAATAAATCAAAGTCAAATAGATATTTTTTTTAAAAACAGAAGTAGGCATGAATATATCTAGACCATAATGCATTGCAAAATACTGACTTTGAGAAAGTACAATAATATCTGTAAAAAGGTCTCTGTTTGCATTTTCAAGCAATCTTAAATAAATAAGAAGAACACTGACGTGAAAATCTAATAATTTCCATCTAACACAGAATATGTGGGTTTTGTCACAACATAGTGACCACCTCATTTTTGTTTTTAATTATTTCAGCACAGAAATGTAGAAAAATTACAACGGCAGCTGCTTATATGCTGCTTTTTCGTTGTTATTACCATATATGTTCACCTGAATCGAGTTAGCGTCATTTAAATTACTCTATTTGAGTCATTCTTAAAGGGAGTTCTGATTTTTTTTTACGTGGAAAGATTATGAACATTTAATGTCTTACCTGTCTTAGATATCTTGATCAGTTACCTCAGTTTACAGTAACTATTCATTAGATCTGACTGGATTAATGAGCTATCAAAGAGACGGAAGTGAAATGCTGCAGAACAACTCTCAAAATGACAATGACTCATCAAACACTATTTTATAAACCTTTACATCAGCATTAGTTTGACATTGAACTGTTTACATTGAAATCTATGGTTAGTTACAAGTATAAATACTTCTGTGCTCCTAGTGCAGCTCAAAGTATTTCCTGTAGGTAAATCATAATATTTCTCTTTCTGACAGTAATGGGAAACTTACATAAATGTTTCAGAGAAAGTGTAATTAATTAGGACGACAGGAATTGTTTCTGGATAACATTCATCCACTTTGGGCTTGGCCCTGCTTCGACTCTCTAATAAGACTTAAACTCACTTTATCCAAATTGAGGTTACCAGTACTCAAAGAAATATAAACAGGTAAGATATTGATTGTTAATAACCTACAATCTCGATTTTCAAAGATACGATCTATGCCTTTAAGTTATCAATTGTGCTAACAAAAGTTATAACAAATAAACGTCTAATTTAGTCAGGCAAAAGCCAGAGTTTCAGGGTTTCCCAGATTTAGTTTAAAATAAATTCAGAAACAAGAATAACTGTTTAGCAGCAGGTCCTGAATTAAGCTCCACAACTTAAAGACTTCAGCTGGTTTTGGTTGTCAGCAGCAAACTGGTTGATCCACTCTGAGAAGGTGCTATTTAAGAGACTGAGCTGAAAACAGCACCTCAGACTGAGGAAGTCTCTTGGATGAGAGACGAAACGTTTCTAGATTTTTTTTGCTTTGTTTTGTTTTTGTTTTTTTTTTAATGTCCAGAGGACCAGATTGAACTTTTTTGGATTTTTCTACCTGGATTATTGAGCATGCATCAGGATAACTTAAAGACTTATTTTAACACAAGGTCACACTCCTGACACATGAGAATAACTGGTGGTTCATCTGTTTCATCAAGTCCCACAATGACTCCAGTAAAAGTGTTGTGGGTGATGAGTTCTTTAGAAAGAACTACAACTAATCTGAAGGTGTCATGAACCAAAAAACATAAATTTGGAAGAAGGATTCAGGTCTAAGAGCAGCCTGACCCACTGCATACTTCCATTGTTAGTGGACTGAGAGCCAGCCCTCCCAGGAACCATCTCTCCCCACGGCGTGTGAACTGTCCATGAAGTTCCTGCAAACCTTCACTGGCAGTTGTCTCTTCTTCAGAGCGTTTTCTTTCTTTCTGACGATCACAGCACACTTTGAAAAGGCCAAAAGTCTCCTAAACCTGCATCCTCCCCCTCCTCCTTCTCCATATACCCCCCAGGGGATAGCTTTGAGTGATTCTGGACGAAAGGGGAACCCTATTTTTCCAAGAATGACCCCATTTGTTTTTAGGGCTTAATTATTCCTTAATGACCTCATCTCATTACAATGTGACCTTGCCATTAAGCCCCAGTGATCAGATACAGACACATTTATGAACCAGTGCCCTCTGGTGCGGGATCCATTGTCCTGTCATTCTCTGTGAGTGATAAGCAACAAAGACTGTTAAGGAAAAAAGGAAGCAGACATGTTTGGATAAGTGAGTCATATATCAAAGTTGTGCAAAGAGGCAATTAAATGCTTATTACCCTGATAATTGTGGGACACCTCATGTTTTAGGTTGCTGTATAAACAGAAAAATGTGCTTTCCTTGCTTGCTTGTTTTACAACGTCACTCACGCCGAGGTCTTTGGTCTGATGTCTCAGCAGGAGAACAATCACTACATGCTTTGTGAACGTACAAGTTCAAAGAACCACAGAACAACACCTCTATGTTCTGTTACGGTCGGATACTGTACTTGCTGTACCTATCTACAACAAAAGTGGTATCACTGATAGGGGCTGGGACTGGAATATTCTGAGGCAGTGGTCACTCACCCCTCACCCCCCCCAACACAGAATCCCGCTGGCGCGACTGAGGTCAACCCCCTGCTCCTGGTCCAGTAACCTCATGTGACCCATGAAGTCATTCCTTCAACAGTTATTGGATTCTTCACACGGGAGTCAGCAAACAAAATGAAGTGGACATCAGGATTTCTACATGATACATATTGGAGTTGTTAGCTGATTATTACCCAGTAGCATCATTACACCGTCATTTAAACATAAAGGGAGATATTTAATGATACAGCAATATACTCTGATTAGGGAGTAACAGTCCACTTTTACAGTAAACTTTGGTGATCAGACCTACATCCACAGGTCACAATGATAAAACTCAGAGGAAAGAGGCATATCGTTAATAACTCTTGGGAAGTGGGAACCAGTTAACCAAGTGTGACCAACATCACTGCTCATAAGGTTGTTTAAAGGCTTAAGAAAATGGTAACTGGGTTGTACTTATATGGCGCCTTTCTATCTTCTCAAGATTGAAAAACAGATTGTGTAACTCGTTTAGCGATTCAGGGTGCCACCAAGAAAAAAGAAGGAAATCCAATGGCCATCCATATTTTTGCTGGCCCCAGCTTCCATAAACAAACTTTCTTATAAACATATTCGTTTTTATAAATAACAATTTACAAGGAAAGAATAAAAGCTTAAATGAGCTCAGTTGTGTGCTGTCCTTAAAATCAATAGTCAAATAACAAACCCAAGGCTTACACCAAAATATTTCAAATAGCCTGATAGCAGGTGGAGTAATTGGTTAGCACTGTTGCCTCGAAGAAAGAAAGTTCCAGGTTCAACTCTCGACTGGGATGTTACCATGTTGAGTTTACATGTTCTCCCTGTTCATGCATGGATTTTCCCATGTACGTCCTCCCCCAGACCAAAAACATGCATGTTTTTCAGGTTTTAGAGTGACTAAATTGTCACTAGGTGTGCATGAGTGTGAATGGTTGTCTGTGTCGTTCATCTCTTCTGCGATGGACCAGCGACCTGTCCAACATCTCTTAAAGGAAATGTATGGATGGGCATCAGGAAACTCCAGAACTTCTCCTATGGCTTTTTGATTTAGTATACAGCCACCAATTTCAAAATTTCTGTTGGCACCTTTGGCAATTTTGACAAATTTTATTGCAGACCTTTTAGCAACATGTCTGCCAAACCACGGAACAAATGTTAATGATCTTTTAGAAAGTAATGACTGACTGTGTATCTGCAGTTAATTAATGTTCTGAGTTGATCAAATTCAAGTTGGCCACCAGAGCTGGTCAACATTATCTAACATGAAAGTGGCTTGAATCATTTTCAACGCATATACCAGTACTAAACATTACCAGATTCATAAGGTTTAACCAAAGTGGTTAACTCCACCCCTTTTCATCACTAGATGATCTTAGTTACATTTGAAACTCTCACATGAACGGGGGCAGGTGATGTGAATTCCTTCAAGACTGCTAGTTCTTTAATGTATCTACAGTGTTCATCCATCCATCGTCTGCTGCTTCTTCAAGAGTCGGGGCGTGGAACCAGCAGCTTGAGCATGAAGGTGTAGACATTTATTTCCACAATCATATCATTACTGGAGACTGAGGCCAACCAAGAAACATATACATATACAACCACATAACAACTCCCTTGTGCCCTGTGCCTTCCTTGGTGTCCAAGTTGGACATGTCACCTCCTTAGGGAGGCAACCAGGGGGACATCCTTACAAAATGCCAAAACCACCTTAATTGGCTCCTCTCCACCTGACCAGCTACTCCAAGTCCCTCCTGGATAACTGAACTTCTCACTCTTTAAAAGGGAGAGTCCAGCAGCTCTGTGGAGAAAACTCATTGCTTGAAATCTTGTTCTTGTGGTCACTTCACAGACTCGGTGACCAAAGGTGAGGTTATGAGCATAGACTAACTGAGGGTTGCCTTGCAGCTCAGCTCCCTCTTCATCACACCAGACCTGCTCAGAAGCTGCACCATCCATCTGCTGATCTCACACTCCGTTCTTGTGAACAAAACCCCAAGATACCAAACTCTTAGGACTGTGGCTTCAGATGGTACTGATCTTCATCCCAGTAACTTCACTGCAAACAGCTCCATGAGAGCTGGTATTCTACATCTCTAAGACAACATTTATCAAAATAGTAAGGCACAAATCCATCCTATAAGTCAGAGCTGATCTTGCTCAAAGGCCCTTCGGAAGAGGCTTCTCAAGTCAGCTCCATTCTCCTCTAGTGAGAGAGGAGCATCACCTCAGAGGTAACAGAGTTCATGCTCCTCTGTCATAAGTCCAGCAGCAGCACTTGCTCCTGTTTCACTCCTCTCCTCACTCACTTCATCCAAAGCTTTCTTCTTCTCTTCTTCTCTTTTTTTTTTTTTTTGCAGGCATGCAGGGACCTCATTGAAATGGGAGAAAGCGTGTCAGCATCGCTCGATTAAAGAGCAGTCTGAAACTCACCAGGCCGGTGCACAGGCTGAACACCGCCGCGTGCTCGCGCTTTGCGTCCACGTGCCCGCGGAAGAAGCAGTGGCGCATGTCGCTCCTGCTCGGGTCCTGGAAGTCTGCCCCCAGGTGTGTCACCGCGTACGAGGGGGCGATGAAGCTGGAGTCCGCGCTCAGGTTGAGCTGGAAGCGCTGCCCGAACGCGTCGATCCTGTAGAGCACGCGCGCGCCCGACAGCTCATCCTCCGCGCTTCTCCTCCTCCGGTAGTGCAGCCGGTGAGGGAAGGATTCTCCGAAGTCATTCACTCTTAACGGAGTGATGATCTCATAGGATGACAGCTGCTTGATGAACTTTTCTGAGGAGACAGAATAAAAGCACACAACTTGTCACTGATCAACTCCTGAGTGCGTCCCTGGCACGCGCATTTAAAGCAGATCTACCTTGTTTTGGATGCAATCGGAAGGTCAGAGTCTCTCGGACAAGTGCTGACAAATGACACGTTAGTCCAACCAGCCAGATTGCAAACTGCATGATTTCCTCCCAGGCTCTCTCCCCCACTCTCCCCCTCTCGCGACCCTCCGTCTTTCTTCTTCTCCGGCTCCTTTTTCCTCTCCCCCCCACCCCACAACCCGGCTTGTCAGCAGCAGCAGGTCGTGGGATCCGCGGAGGCTCTCTGCAGCGCAACTCCTGCAAAGTGCGTCGGCCTCATCGCCTTGCAGCTGAATCCGTGCACGCACCAGCCTCTCTGGGAATTTATGACACATTCATCCCGCTGACGCAAAGATTATTGCTACCAAATGTAAACTGCGGGGCTTTCCCCCCCGTCTTCTGCTCTTTACACTAAAAGGAGGGGTCAGTGCCAAGTAAGCTCTCCCCTGGCCATCCCTGGAGCACTCCGTGCACCCGAAGCTCTCAATAAGAGAAGCAACGCCCCCAACGAGCGCGGAGCCAATAGTGAGTGCGCGTGGACACATGGGAGCTGCAGAGTAAAAGACCAGTGAGTGTGTGTGAAAATGTCTCAGCAGTCTTCACTGCTGCACTAACTAATGCACAGCGCAAAGTCAACTGATTTAAGGCGCACGAGCGACTAAAACCTTTTCCATGTGCAAACTGGAAATATGACTTTAGGGATGTTCATAAATAATGAGCTCACATTAATTCTCCAAAGGATTACGTCCACATATATAATGAGCAGGCCTGTACTGGCTTACAACATGAACAGGTTAAAGCATAGTTCGGGTATTTTAAAGTGGGGCTCTGTGGAATGGTTCTGCACAAAAACAGAGTTTTATTGTGAGCAGACTGATGAGCTGATGGCTAGTCCGAGAGGGACCAAGATTGAAGTGGATTTCTGCTGTTAGTCCTTGTTCTTTGGAAATTGTTTTTTTTTTTTTTCATATATGATCTGAAAATAAAACGATCAGTTCTCGGCCTCCCATGCAAAAGAGCTCTGTTATCTCAGTGGGACATGGCTAATAAAGAAATAATAATATGCAATGCACAATAAAATTTTGGCTTAGCAGCATTTCTAAAAATGTCAGAATAAGTCCAGTTGGTTTTGAATTTTCTTTTTTGTTTGTTTGTTTTCTTTTGTATTGATCATGATCTGGGGGACTAAGAACCTTCATCATCTTTATCCACAAACACCAAAAATGCTCCAAAACACTGCATGCACTAAGTATGCAAGCCTGTTTGTGGCCATATTACAGAAAACGTGAAACAAGGTACTGGGCATGCAAATAAAACACACTGGTGTGAAGTAAACCCAGCAAGAAGTAGACACCCCCCCCCACACCGGACCCCCCCCCCCCCCACACACACACAGGCTGGATAGAGTCAGCTGCTGTAACGTTGCTGTGTTTACAAGAACAAATAAGATTTAACATTCCTGTGTGGATAGTTCCCTAAAACAACTCCAGTTTTGAAAAGTCTGCAGTGATTCATCCAGAGGTGGTTTAATAAACAGCACAGCTCTCAGTTTTACATGACTTTTTATTTTTTAATTTTTTTATGTAGACCTCTGTGGTTGTGTGCAAACACAAATAGCAGTAGCAGCTAGCTGTAGCCCTTCTGGTGCATTCTGAGACATTTCCTGCTGAGATATTACAAACTTTCTGATGGAATGATTGTGTAATGCAACAATTATGGCAGAATAAAAGCTTATTAAAGTTCTTGCTATAAAAAAAATTTGCACTGGAGAGTTTTTCTAGATCAGAAACGATCCAGTTTGTTTTTGACCAAACTTGATCTGGCTGTTAGCTCTCAATCCAAATCCAGACAGAAAAAAGGCTTTTCAAACTGAACTTGACCAAAGATTTATCTGTAGCTGGTACGATTTTAACTGTTCATGTTTTTTTAAAGAACTCCACTTTGAAAGATCTGAACTATCCCTTTAAGAACACAGACATAAACACAACACACAACTGTAAGTTTCAACTAACGGGACAAAAAGTGTGCATTTGATGAGCAGAGATGGTCAAATTTTAATTATAGAGTCAAATTTTAAAAAAGTTTGTCAACATCTGGACATCTTGTTGCCATGTCAAACACTAACAGGAAATACTTTCCTGACTTGGATTAATATTTGTATTTCTTAAAACAACAGTTCACATTTTATATGTAGTCCCAAGATTGTAGAAAAACACACCTACATTACGTTTTAACATTTTATTAATAATAATTTACACAGGCTCCCAGCTGAAGAGCAACATATGTTTAAAATTTTACCAAAATCCTTCTTGTTTAGAATTTGTTACTGGTGCCATCAATAATACAATCATTTGTAACAAAGAGAGGATTTTATTTTGATTTTAGGTGTTTTCTCAGAACTGTTGGACAAAGATACATATTCACTTTAAGAACAAATGGATAAAGCATAAAATGCACTAACACGTTTATATCTTATTAGACTGAAGAAATGGTAGGCGAATCAGCCATCAGTAAATTTATAAATAAATCTCAGAAAGCTCTTGACATTTTCAGACAAAATCTTAAACTAAATTGATCCAAACGCTGATTGTTTCAGAGCTTTTGTTTATGTGGAACTGTCACCAATAGATTTCCCGAGCCTTGAAACGTTTGCTCTAATTAACATGCTTAAATAAAAAAGAGCAAAGAGAAGCAAGACATCACACAACCTTTTCTCCTTCATCCAAACATGTCTCCACTGAACACTGGTGTTTTGGGTCAGGATGCCAAAGCTGCAGAGCTCCGGAGCTAAACCTGCTGATTCCAGCAAACTCTCTGCACCTCCCTCTGATGACCTCATCATGTGATACCTACTCAGCTTCCAAGCATCCATCTGTCACAAACCCCTTTAAGAAAAATAATCAAATACTCTTTTTCTTGGGCACTCTGCCAATGAGTTAAAGTACCAAGTTAAACTCCCAAAAGATATTTATGTTATTAAAAATTCACTAACAGGTGAAACTTTTTGTTGTCGTTTTGGCCACATTGTCAGTGAATAATCCATCCATCCATTATCTTTACCCGCTTATTCCATTTTGGGTCACGGGGGTCGCTGGTGCCCATGTCCAGCAATCACTGTGCGAGGGGCGGGGTACACCCTGGACGGGTCGCAAGTCCATCACAGGGACACATAGAGACACACGAGACAAACAAGCATTCACTCTCTCATTCACACCTAGGGACAATTTAGAGTTACCAATCAGCCTAACATGCATGTTTTTGGTCTGTGGGAGGAAACCGGAGCACCCGGAGAAAACCCACGCATGCACGGAGAGAACCTGCAAACTCCACCCAGAAAGGCCCCCGGACCGGGGTTTGAACCAGGGACCTGCTCGCTGAGAGGCAGCAGCTCTACCAGTTGTGCCACCGTGCTGCCCGTCAGTGAATAATGAGTTTGATAAATAAAAGACAACCTGACTATAAAAATCTGTACAAATGAAGGATAACTTCATCATTTCCATTCTTACTAGTTTCTGAATCAAAAGATAAAATGAAAAAAGCTGAATTCTATCAATTCAATTCAAAACTACTTTATTAATCCCAAAGGTAAATTAAATGTAAGTCGTCGTCATTCGTGCTCATCTGCTCACACACACTCATGTTCGTGATGATGTCGTTTGGCATATTGTTTTTGTACTAGTTCTTGGTGTATTCTTAGTTTTAGCATATTTCTTAGTTCATATCTTAGATCTTATTATTGTTTTTCTTTACAATTTATACTTTTGTTGGATGTAACTGGGACCCTGTGTAGACAATTTAATTCCACCACATGTACCACATGTGGTGCGAATCAGTGGTGTAGTGTACATTTTTGTAGTGGGTATACCGCGGGAAAGTTAGTTTTACGTAAAGTGCTCTGAGTATCTTGATAAGATAGAAATATAAGTACAGTCCATTTCAAGTTAATTTTACGTTGGACATTGGAAACAGCTGAAGCCACGGAGTTCGAATGTCCAACGTAAAACTAACTTTACTGCGGTTGGTCCGTATACTGTGCAAATACACCCGTTAGTACAATGTATTTGTCAATTTATTTTAATTTTTAAGCACACTGAACATTTCCAAATGTCTCTGATGCTTATATTTGAATAAATGAACAACAAACTTTGTACAACAGTTGGCTTTGTATTAAAAACATGTTGGAGATTTTATAAAACAGTATCAAAGCAAAACATGTTCAAGTATTAAGTAGTAAGTAGAAGTATTAATTAAACAATACTTTGCTGGATAAGTAAATGTAATAAACAAGTGCTGCATACAGACAGTTACGATAGTGTTTAACTGCCATTTAACATATCAATGACATGTGCCTAATGATATGTCATATATCATTGGACACTTTTAATCAGTATACTGAAATTCTTAAGCTTTTCTAGTGGGTATACTGCGCTATACTATGCCTGCGTATCGCATACACTACACCACTGGTGAGAATGAAAATAAAGAACCTTGACTTGATCCTGGTTTCATTAAATGTATTAACCTTTATTTAACCAGGCAAATCCCACTGAGATCACAGATCTCTTTTGCAAGGGAGGCCTGGGCCTGAAGGCAACCTAACGTGCATGTTTTTGTTTGTTCTAGATGCTGGTGGAAGGATCTCTTGTAGCGGTCTGTCTTACAGCAGATCTGAAGAAGCCTCTGACTGAAGACACTCTGTTGTTGTATGACAATCTGATGAAGAGGATGCTGAGGGTTGTCTATAATCTTCTTCATTTTATGAAGAATCCTTCTTTGAGCAATCATCTCCAAAGGTTCTAGAGGAGTCCCCAGAACTGAGCCAGCCTTCTTTATGAGCTTGTTGATCTTTTTGAAGTCACTTGCTCTGGTGCTGCTACCCCAGCAGATGATGGCAGAAGAGATGGCACTCTCTACAACAGACTTATAGAAGATATGGAGCATCTTGCTGCAAACGTTGAAGGACTTCAGCTTCCTCAAGAAGTACAGTCTGCTCTGTCTTTTCTTGTAGATGGCTTCACTGTTGCATTCCCCATCCAGTCTGTTGTCCAGGTGAACCCCAAGGTATTTATACTTCTCCACCACCTCCACTTCTTCTCCCATGA